CAGCCTTGCGTATGAAATAAGTATTTTAGCAGGCCCGTAGCCAGACCAAAATCCTAGGAAATGTACTACATGTTCATAAAACTGGAGCGCATGGCGTCAGCATGATCTTCTTCTGGGATGGGAAAATCAACGCTAAAATTTGCTGTGTTCATTAGTTGTTGGTTTGAGCACAAGAAATGGTTTCATGCGATATCAATAAAACATCATGCCGCAAGAACTGAGATTGCATGGAATTGGCTCGAAGAGGTACACCCCAGGTCGCAGTGAGATGCACCGCACGCAGTGCATCCGCCTGGCTACCGACATGTACTACCTCTTTCTATTTGATCTTGAACAACATCATTATCTGAATTATGCTAGAAAAAGCAATATCGTTGTGTTCATGAACACAGAAGCATAGGTTCACCCACATTCTACAGATTTGGGAACTGATCAGGGATAGGAGGGAGATGGATCAGATCAGCCAAGGTTGGATCAGCCAAGGTTGGGAAAATGAAATATGGGGGGGAAAAAACTGAACAAAAAATAGCATTTTGAATGGCAAAAGGCAAAAGGTCTGCATTCTGTGAGCAGAATTGGACGGGCTGAGAGGACTCTTTACAAAAACTGGCACACATATCACCCCTCCCCCCCGCCCCCATCCAAGTAGTTGCACCGATGCATCGGACTGAAACTCCGTCGCTCTCCGGCCAACAGCCAGGCATGGCGAATAGGTGGCGCTGCTGCGTACTGAGTACGCCCGGGTCCTGCACCGGCACCGGCATAAATTTTCGGAACATGATAATGCAACAATGGTGCAAGTGTTTTCAGATTTTATAAGTAATGCATGAACACTGCTCCCATGGCATGCTATACTCATTCCATGCCTGGAACATTTTCAACACCAATGATTCTGCGCATGATTGTGGCCCCCAACTGACAGCAGGCACGATGTGTACACAGCTGCCCGATTTGGACTTGTATGAACTGCAGAAGAAACCAGAACGCACAACAGGAATGATAAGATCGCATCGTACTCTATGCTGAACCGGGTAATCGTCGTCAACATCCAGCTCCCGGTGGCTTACGTCGACTAAAACGCAGGTAACCGCCGGTCGGCATAATACGAAAACGATAACTGATGTTTTGCTCAACAGGTGGTGTCACCCATGATATCAACTACGCGCGAAACGCCGCAAAATACGAAAAGCTGTACCGTTGTCAACATTGATGTAGTTTCCTTTTCAACTAAAGAGATTCAGCCCCCTCCCCTTAACTTGGGATCTAACATCCCTCCCACCAGACCAGTCCAGCTGTACAAGAAAAGTGGGCAAAATTGGGTTAGAAACCGGCTTGTTAGCCAACGGGTAGGTTTCATAATTTTTGCAAGGTTCAGCCGCCCTCTACTGCCCTATCCAACTCACTTTGTGCAACCACGCTCCTGGTTTCCACTGCCGCTGTGACCTCGTGTGGGGGCTGCGGGCATGTAGAACAAGTACGTTCGACAAAATTGCTGCGCGAACAAATGCGTTTGTATAATGTTCGTCAGGATGAAGTATGTAAGGCATTAAGTTGGCAACTGTTAAGTTCATGATGGCAAAGCACGTATAGATAATGACTGTTTGGTCACATGTTGGATTGGAAAAGTTAAAACGAAAATTTTGTACCTGTAAAAGTTCGTATGGAATAAGGTCGTAAGCAATCGTCTAAACCCAACCGTTCGGGCGCCAACGCTAAGTCAAGGACACTTCCGTTTGAAAGAGATACCTTCATAAGGAAACGTTCGTATTCTGATATATGATGTAAGCACACGAAAATGCACGAAAATGTTCAACAGGGACAGGTTCGTTTGACAGGAGTACGTACGCAAAACTTCGCATGCAGGTGTGTTCTGAATGTTGGAATGCAAATCTTAATTCTTGATGTCAGATGCCGGCTGAATGGTTACTGCGGGGGTCACGACATCCCATCGAGAAAGTAAAGGAGGGGATGCGCGATGGTGGTGGACATAAGAACCCATAGGTCAGGTCAATTATTATGACTAATCTAACTCTTCATGGCATGAGCTTTAACGGTCTGAGGCGGCCAGCGAAAGAATTCGAATCACTTAAGGCAGCGCGGTGTGACCTGAGATGGAGGGAGCGCAACGTTTAAGACAAAGGTTCATTGCAGATCACCCGCCGCGTTTGTTGTGCTCCTCCCTAACCTCGCACCCTGAGGACGCCTCTGTCGACGACTCTGCCTGACTTCCTCGAGCACCTCACTGACGCCAGCTGACGGACGCGGCGGGAGTCAGCTCCCTCGCCGAATTAGGCTGGTAGGCGCGTCAGTGACACCCGGTATAACACTGCTTATAACAATAGAACCTGAGTCCAGAGAGAATGATACGCCAGCTCGACCCGCTTTGATGCAATCCACGTGATTAGGATCCTGTTTGGAGCCGACCGGACATTACCTGCGAGAGTAACCATTTTAGATCGTACACCGGATAGAGCTAAAACTCTCTCACTCGAATCCATTCCCTAGATTGGCCTCAGAAACTGAATTTCATAGGAACTAGAAGAGCTGCTGGTGCGTAATTTGGTGCCCTGGTGGTTGATCTGTCTAGGAACAATCCCTCGGCAGTATCATCCATCATGACGTAGTAAATCGTTTCCATGCGCCACCATTGGCTTCATGTTTATCATGCTCGGAAAGTGTGGTGCACCCACGGTCCCCCGTTCCTACATGCTGTTCATGAAGAGTTGCGTACATTCTTGTATGTTGTCGAACTAAAATGTTCTGTTTTGTACCTTTGCGTGCGTTCAATTGTTTCCGAGCAACTGTGTTTGTGCTTTATGCGTGCTTTTTCCATGCGAACTTTTGTTTTGATGATTTCTTGTTAAAACAAATCCTTGCCTGAGGTTTTCTCAGCTTCCATTGGTGACCCATTGTCACCTTGAGCCCTATCTTGTCAGAACTCCTCCACTGACTAGGGCATGCCTCCATGAAACATTTGGAAGGCAACAACCATGTCTCCCTTGCGACGACAGAAGTGCGGCGAGGGCAGCTGGAGGGTTCGGAGCCTCTCGAAAATGGCCGATGCCTAATTGCGTGGGCACGACGCATAGCTCGTCATTGAACCCGCCCCAGCGCCCCTGATCCAATTTGGCGAACGGCGTCCGGGTGATGTTGTCATGCTTCAACTACGGGCGTATTACGGTCTTGTGGAGCAGTGGCAGCGTGTAAACGTTGACGTTGGCAAATGACCTTCGCGCCACCGCCACCATCTGGCTGGTCTCCGAAATTGTCCCCGCCGACTGCACGTGAAACTTAAAGGGAATGTTCCGCATTTGAAGATATTGAAACAAACATCAGATGCGATCAAATAGTTTTACTTGTAACTATTGGTACAGTTGTAAGTGGAAAAGACTGCTCTACGATATATAATGTTTCGTTAAATAAACATGCTCCTCAGTACATCATTGTTTGATTACGTCATCGTACCTTACACAGCATTGACTGCGGGCCTACTGACGGTCGTGATATCTGGAAATTGTGCCCATCTACGTTAGATATTGAACGAGTCAACAGTCATACTGCTGTTGTGTGCTGAAATACTCTCTCCAAAATAGTCTGCACATCTTTGCGGGCATGTAGCTCAGAAAGTTGGGGTTGTGTGGTCTTCAAAAAGGACAGGGCTGTGAATTGCACCGAATATTCGTCAAGATGGCTGTTGCAGTCCAAAATCTCTTTAAGCCTGTTGTAGTCCAGGAACCCTCCGAGATCTTTCTCGGTTGGCTCGACCGCAATTTTGGCGCTGTTCAGGAAGTAGGCCAGCCTCGGGTGCAGGTGCCGATGGGTTTATTTTGCACTTTGCACTTACTTTGTGATTATTTTGCACTTTGATGCTTTGAAAGGGGGCAGTCACTTCTCCGATCACTTGGCCAGGGCATCGACGTCGACATGTAGAGGAGGAGCAGTCGGATGCCTCGGAACGCAGCAGTACATCTTAGTGTTACACGCAAACATCTTGGTCGTACTTCACACGTGATCTGGTTGGCCTTTAACGAAGATAATGATGGGCGTTGGTCCTGGCACCGATCCTATAGGAATGCTGCTGATTACGTCAGTCCAGTCCGACTGAGAGCCCTGGATCTTCACTCGTCGCATCCGGTGGGTTAAGAAGGCTCTGGTCCAGCGCAGCGAGTTGTCTCGCATACCGTAAGCATGGAGCTTGAAGAGCAGATGATCATGAGGGATAGTAGCGAATACTTAGCTGAAGCCGAGGTAGGCTACGTTTACAGGTTGCCCGTCCTCTAATGTGGCGCTCCAATGTCCCGTGACCTCTAATAGCTTCTGGAAGAAACTTCGCGCATGTAGCAGCTTCGCTTCGGGAGACACCCAAGTTGGACTGCATGGACTCTAGTCTTCGAAAAGTCTTTAATGGGCCATCTCTGGCAAAAGATTCCAACCATTAGGACGGAACAGCTGTAGGGCTGAATGAACCATATCCCGCTAGAGACTGCCGCTTTCTTTTCTTTAAGATCGGGATAACCTCAAAGAGCTTTCCCTTTTGAGAAGCCTTTCTGCAGCACTCTATTCATGCGTACTTTCTCAGGCGTACTTTTGGCCTTAAACCGACCTGAGGTGACCGTGGCACGCATGCCACCTATACGTTGTTCATGTAAGTAGAAGCGCTTTAATAGCACACAGATGACAGGTTAAGCGGGAATATGTTGGCACAGCATGGCTTTCGAAATTCGCTTATCATTGTACAGATTTATGAAATTTATTATTACAAAATGTGATTATCCTATCAGAATTGACCTTCTTTATGGATTTAACTAGCTGATTAATTATTTTGTTGCGCGTTGTACGTGTTAAATCCTTGATGGCAGTTTGAGCCGAGCATTTCTTGGCTCCGCCCATCTTAGGAGCTCCCGGATTGGTCGAAGCCGGACAGAGCCCAGAATCTGTCCAATCGCAGGGCTTGATACTTCATGCCCACTTTCACTGATACATCCGTTTTCTGTCAGCTGCCGGCACTCTTCCTCTTTCACTGGACGCCGGCGGGGTCGGAGTGCCTGGGCTTCACAGCGCGGTAACCCGAAAAATAACATCATGCCGTTCGATCCGAAGTCATTCATGCAGGACTTCATTGCAGGCGGCGTTGCCGCTGCAATTTCCAAAACAGCAGTGGCCCCGATTGAACGGGTAAAGCTGCTGCTGCAGGTCCAGCACACGTCCAAGCAGCTCACTGAGGCTCAGCGCTACAAGGGTAAGGGTGCATTTTTTCTGCTATTGCGTGCGACTTGCATAGGGTTGTGGGAGTATTTGGGAATGGGCTGGTTGTAGGTATTGTAGTTCTGGCGGATGTAAGTTTCCAGGGAATGTGCATGTGCACGGTGGTATAATGCTATGTTTTTCCCACAATGTGCAGAATTGTAACATTCACACCTGTGTCATTTGTCATCATTTGGTTGTGGCAGCGCTGTTCTGTGTGCATGTAGTGATAGTGGGAATTTCAGTAAAGGCAGGATTAACATAATTGACCATCATTGCCAATGGGGTGCAGTCATGTTTGGTTCAAGTGTCTTTATGCTGGTTGGAATCTGTTAGATATCATCTGACCTTATTCTGTTGGAATGATTGTGATGTTCCCAGCTCAGATTCCTGTAAGCCTTACTGCCTTTTTATTAGTTCACATGCTGGTCTTATTTGGATTGGCTACCTGTTATGTCAAGTATATTTTGCAGGGTCAGCATTTTGTCTTCCATTATTATGGAACATTTTAGGATCAAAAAGAGACACTGATAGAAGGCTTGGAAACAAAGTAAAGCCATGAGCGGTCAACATTTTGTGCCGGACTGTTATGAGGTGATAGGGGTTATGTACTATGGGGACCATGTTGTAACATCATGCACAAGGTTATTCATATCAATGACACTGATGTAATTGCCTGAACAAGTAAGGTAGCCAAAGATGGGCTGAAGTGTTAACAGTAGACCTTTTCTAAATTGGTAGAAAGTTATGAGCAATGTCAGGATTTTGGGGTTAATGGCTTCCCTCAGGCACATTTGAACGCATCTCAAGGTGGTGTTGAGTAAAGTGTAGTTGTGACTGATCTAGCATGGCAGAAGAAAATGATGTTGGTTGATATAATGCAAGCCTTACCTTGCTGTGCACATGGGGAACCACAGGTGAAGGGTGTGGATCTTTGCTTCATCCACCCTCCATGCCAGGGTGCTATTTGTTTCTAAGAGAATGGTATGTTATTTATGATCTAAGGTTTCTGACCTGCAGGTGAAGGTCAAACCATGGATTCAGCAAAGATGATTTCTAGGGAATTCTATCTGATTCAAAATAGGGGTGTTGTGAGTGCTGCATCTTATATCATTTATTAGGCAATGTAACATTTCAATGGATAAGTTCCATTGGCCTAGGGTAAGGTATAATGGTCCTTGTTTTATTAGTCAAGAGCTTGCTGTATGGGGAAGGTCATGACCTGGGAACCTCAAATTTTGACAAGTGTGACAGGCCTACATGTCCTGTGCATTTGGAGTCTCAAGCTCACTTAGTTTCTGAGATTTCAGGAGTGGCCAATTGGCCCTCACCTCAGCAAAAAGTATTAGACCAGCCACCCAGGCACGTGTTAAGATCTGGTAAGGATAATCCAGCATCCAGGTTCTGACCATCTCTCAAGCACATTGTTTTTTCACCAATGAGTGTCACAGCACTGATGTTGTGTATCCAGCATTATGTTCCTGATGGTCATGCTTACATCAGTTCCTTGATGTGTTTCAGGAATCATTGATTGCTTCATACGCATCCCCAAAGAACAGGGATTCCTGAGCTTCTGGCGTGGCAACTTGGCCAACGTCATCCGTTACTTCCCCACCCAGGCGCTCAACTTTGCCTTCAAGGACAAGTACAAGCAGATCTTCTTGGGTGGCGTGGACAAGAACACTCAGTTCTTCCGCTACTTCCTCGGAAACCTGGCCTCTGGCGGCGCTGCCGGAGCTACTTCGCTCTGCTTCGTCTACCCGCTGGACTTCGCCCGTACCCGGCTGGCCGCCGACGTCGGCAAGGGTGGCGCCCGCGAGTTCACCGGCCTGAGTGACTGCCTGGTCAAGACCTTCAAGTCCGATGGCATGCTGGGCCTGTACCGCGGCTTCGGCGTCTCTGTGCAGGGCATCATCATCTACCGCGCCTCGTACTTCGGCTTCTTTGACACCGCCAAGGGCATGCTGCCCGACCCCAAGAACACCCCGATCATCATCTCGTGGGCCATTGCCCAGGTAGGCCAGACTGGGTGTTGCTGTTCTTGTTGGTCGTTTTTTTGGTTCGGTTGACTTTCCACATCACGCTCCATGTCGCGCTGCATTTGTGGCATAGCGAACCTAAGTGTACGTTACTCGTCGGATGTGCGCGAAAGATTGGTTGAGCACTGGTTTAATTGCCTGGGTGTGGCAGGCAGACTGGCTGTGGTCTTGCTGTGCTTGTGCTAGCTTGGCTGACCTTTCGCTCTCCTCAGACGGTGACCACCGGCGCCGGCATCATCTCGTATCCGTTCGACACCGTGCGGAGGCGCATGATGATGCAGTCCGGCCGCAAGGGCGCCGACATCATGTACAAGAACACCCTCGACTGCTGGCGCAAGGTGGCCGCGCAGGAGGGCAGCAAGGCCTTCTTCAAGGGCGCCCTCTCCAACATCTTCCGCGGCACTGGTAAGTGGGTGCCTGCGCCGTGTGGCCTCCCCTATGTTCAGGGTCTGGTGTGGAGTTTATTTGTTTTTTGTGCACAAGCGTCTGAGGTCAAATTCTCCCCTGCTGATATTTCATGGATGGCCCAACACATGAGCTGTTTTACCAAACGTGACTTCTGCCTGAGAGATAACGTGTAGTCCAGCCACGTCTGCAGATGCGTGAAGTACATGCCACGCTATCTGGTCCCTTTATTCGGTGTATTCGTCGCCGTTGCGTAACCTCGCGAAACAACGCCTGACGCCGAGTCTGTCGTCGCCTCCCCCCCCCCCCCGCCCCCCTCATGCACCGTTCACATCCATCCTGTGACTGCCCGTCGCTGCCGGCGGCGTGTGCCGCGTGGGTCGTTGACGAAATCCCTCTGCGTTTCAGGTGGTGCCCTGGTCCTGGTGCTCTACGACGAGCTGAAGGTGTTGATGTTCGGCTAATGCCAACGTAGCCCTCTAGTTTGAATGATAGGGACCGGCGAGGTCTCGCTCATGGCCCCTGCGGGGCGTCTCCAATGTTAACCCGCGGCGGGGCGGGCGGCCGGGCCTGGTATTCCAGTATCCCAGGCCTGGCGGCTGTCCGTGACGCCCGGTCTGCGGCCGCTGCGTCCCAGACGTTTGTGAATCGTGTACATGTATACAGGCGGGAAATACATGGAGCCGTTTGCTGCTTCACCTAGGAGACGTGGAGTTTGGCGCCCTCGGCGAGGGGCGCGGGTGTGACCACTTGCGGCGACGGTGGATATTTTTTGAATCTTGGTACCTTTTAGTGAGAGACTCCCCGCGTTGCGCATACTCTCTTAATTCGTTCGTTTTTATGGATTTGACATACTCGATTTGGTAACACGAATGCTGGGGACTGGATACTGTGAGCGTGAATAAACTAGCTGGATCAGTGACAGTCGTACGCGTCGGACGAGATGGCTTAGGAGGTAGACTGGTCCGACATGCCTTGAGAAAGAGGGTCGACTAATGCGTCTGTGCGCGCTCGAGGGCCGCAGGTCGTGTCGGGTCACGAGCGCGATGTACCAGTCCCGCGCAGGGGGCGTTCCGGGAGCTGGTGTCTGCTTCGGTCGGTCAGCCGGATGGTCCGTCGGTGGGGTCTGCCTGCCGGCGATTAACAGTGACACCAGGTGCCGGCGGCCACCGCAGTGGGCTGGGTATTGATCGCAGACGGGTGACGTGGCGGTGTGGCATGCCGTCAGCGGCTCCTGGGCGACCGGAGCCGGACGGCCGCGGGACGTTGGTGTGGAGCGCAGGAGGCCGGTCTCGATGCCGCCACAGATCTGTGTCTGGCTGGATGTCACGGATCCGCCCGCGCGGCATATCCGGCGGTGCAGCCGCGTTTCGGCGCGTGGGCAGATGTCGGATCTGGTCCCGTTCTCTGTTACTATTCCGTTAATCTGTCGCGGTGACGGGCGTGGGAACTCAGCAATGCCAGCAGTCGTAACGGTCAGTTGCCAAGCATTTTCCGACGTCAGATACGTGCCCGGAGTCGTGATCGAACGTTTTGTTTATACCAGGCGCAAGGCCAGCTTCTGTCGGGTCGAATTTCATTTTGTGGGTGACGCGGGCGCGTGTGATCCGAAGCTCCCTGGCCATGTCATTCCGCGAACTGTCGTGCTTTGAGAGGCGGACCTGGGGGCGGGTGAAAGGAGTGTAGGCCTCTATTCCTAACGCCTGAACCCGGCCGAACGGATGCAGGTTTTCAACACATTGCAAAACGTGCCTCCGGTCATTTACTCCGCCAGGGATGGTCACAAGCGACGATAAAGCGGCAAAGAGAGCAGAATAACTTGGTTGTTTGCGAAGACCGTACTTGGAGGTGTTTTTGGAGCCCATTTCGCTAGTGGGGTCCCTAAATGCTGGTTTGCCGAGCACGCTCGATCGATCATGTGCCCCTCCGCACCGGCCTGGGTTCTTCACATTTGCTCGCAGTGCCCTACGCTGCACGCGAGGGCCCCATGTATTCACCTGGCGCGTACAGGTAGATGCAAAGCTTGCGAGCTGGAAGTGTTGAGTGCGAACACGCCGCTGCGCCGGTTTATCTGCGTCGCGATGCCCAGCGTTACAGTCTCCATCGGCAGCGAGGCGTTGGCTGCAAGTTATAAATGGCGCCAGGGGGCGGAAGTCCGGGCGGACGGATCGGCCGAACGCTTCCAGATGCTCTTTTGAATAATTTGTAATGGTCTTGGAGCAGTCCGGGACGCATGTTTCACTTGACCACTTTCAGATTAATTCTTAAAACTGGTTGTCAGTCTCATGCAGCGAAGCGAACAATGGAAATTCTTCCTCCAGTAAGGTTGTCATGATGTGCGTAAGTGTTCGTGTACCACACATAACGTCAATCTGGTCGTTCTTGGTACGTCTTATACCATGTTTTAACAGCGACTGCAATCCGCACTATTGTTTGACACTGAATAGCCCGATGCGGCTAACCGTTGCGCAGCAAAATGCTCACCAGTCGCACAGTTACCATCACATATTCATGGCGCAAAAGACGTTAGGAGTCGACACGCCCTTAAACCCCAGTCAACGGCAACAAGAATAACATTCATGTATATATATATATATATATATATATATATATATATATATATATATATGTGTGTGTGTGTGTGTGTGTGTGTGTGTATGACATGTTGCCGTTATCATAACGATGCCTCCACTGAATAGTGGCCAGTTAGATAGTCCAGAGTTCGACTGCGGCTAAGTCAGACTTCACATCCTAAATGTTCAGAGAAGTTCCTAGGAATCGACCACACTGAAATACGTAGGTCTTGAAAGTGCCTTACCGTTTGTCCAATTATACGTGGGCCGCCAGAACTTGTTAAAAGCAGAGGCAGGAGGTTCCAGGACTGCACTGCTGCACTACACAAGCAATACTGTACAATGCCCGTCGAAATTGCTCTCCTTGTGTCATGGCAAAGAGTTGCACCTTTCCAGTCTGGTGTTTGGAAGTCAGCGACATTCAGACCTGAATCAGTACTGACCAAGGTTGGAGTGAAATTGAAGCGAAGGCGCGTCTCGAGGACAGTCCTGTTTACACTCATCCCGGAGTGATGGGCGCTGATGCCAGCAGTCAGGTTCAGTGCCATGACTGTCTGCCCATACAGGCGGCAACCGTCGCCTGGCGCCTGGCCATACCTGAGACAACCGTCGCCTGTCACCTGACCATACCTGCGGCAACCGCCGCATGGTGCCTGACCATACCTGCGGCAAATGTCGCCTGGTGCCTGTCCATACAACCGTCCATACAACCACAACCGTCGCTGCACGGTCCATCTCCCATGGAAACTGGGCGCAAAATGACCCTAGAAGTCGACGCGCGCTAAACCCCCAATCATCAATCATCAGTCCCATGGAAACTGACGCCAGGCGCGGGCGTTTTCGCGATGTGGCCAAGTTTGGAAGCGTGCGCTCAAAAGCATATATTAAAGGAGTTCATGCGGCCTCCTGGGTGGCCCAAGCAGCACATAGCACCCTTTGTTAAGAAATGTTCCGTGCCTTGGGGTACCTGTGGGCCTTTGCCCGCATCTGCCGACCTCGGCGCTCGTATAAAGCATTTCATTCCCTTCTCTGAACATCTGAGCGAATGAACGATGAATTTGAAAGGGAATGTTCCTTTTTGGCACGGGGTTTTCAATTTAAATAGCCATCTTGAACATCACTTGGTGCAGTTCACAGCACTGCCTCTCTCAATATCTAAACTCGTCAAGTTTCTGAGCTGCATGTCTGCGAAGATGTGGAGGCTATTTCGGGGAGGGCTATTTCAAAATCGCCCAGGCTTACATGACGCCAAATAGCGTCATTCAAATCCTGCCATTACGGCGATCAGGGCCAAGAAAAAATATAATTGTCCATTCCTCCATATCTGGCATTCGTGAGCACGATCTCCAGACATAAAGGCCAGTCCATTGGCTCCCAATTGATGTTGTGCAAGGTATGATGACGTAATCAAGCAATGACGCATTGATAAGCATACTTACTGAGGAGAGAATTTGTTTAGTATGCAACAGTTCTTTTAACTTAAGTACACCAATAGTTGTGCGGGAGCTTATTTCATCATGTCTGATACTTGCTTCAATATCTTCAAAGATGCAACATGCCCTTTCTCATTCCCTGGGTCAAAGCCGTAGCATGTGAAGTCTCTTACGAATGAGGATCCGTAGTTAACCACTGTCCGAGCTATATATGTTCTCCACGGGTTGGCATTTGCAGAGCTAATTTCCCTATACCAGCCACAAGTCCAAAGAATATGAGAAAGTGTCCCCCTGCTCAGCGCTAACACATTTCCCTTCCCTTAGGATCGTGGCCGACACCGGCATCGCTCGGGCGTAAATTTACGTCGTGGACCGTCACGAATTCTGAGCCCGTCGCCTGCGTAAAATATTCATGGCACTCCGCGAACGCGTCTTTGCTGTACGTCTGGCCAAAGGTGAGCGCAGAGCATTCGTAGAGTAGAGAGACAGACGTACGCTCGAAAACTAGTGAATCAAACAAGTCGTTCCACCTTGCTTCGCCTCGCGAAGAGGCGACGCCGTCAGTGCCGGCAGCCTTGCCACCAACGGCGTGACGTTGGCTCGCATCTTAATGATGTGATACGCATGTCATTTGCGATTGGTGGGCATTTCAACACTCGTGGATCGCTCTGCCGCACTGCCCGTGCGGTGCTGCTCCGCGCATGACAGAAAAGATTTAGATATAAATTATTTGTTAGCCACACCTGTTTTGATATCCGAAGAAACGACGCCGTTGACATTGGTATCCCACTACCACCAGCTGCATGACGTGCGTGTCAATGAGGCGCAAAATGACCGTAGCAACCAACGCGCCCGAAAACTCCAATAAACAGTCGATCCATAGTGCACGGCTCGTCCTGATTACTATTCAAAGCCTTTAATGGTTGCGTCTATCGACAGCCCGCTTATCGTGGGGATGCAATAATGGTTGCTGCTCGAGATTTGCGGCATGTTTTCGATGGTTCAATCTTTACACAGCTTGCTTTTTCTGCATATGCAAAAAGTGTGTCCCTGCTCAAAGCTCAAAGCCAAAACATGCTCCTTTCCCCCTTCTCGCGCGCGCTGTGACCGACGGTGGTGTCAGGAGGACGTGAATTGATATATTGGATCATCACAAAGGTTGAAATCGCGGTGTGCGCATGTTTTTCGGTAATTCGCGCTGCCGTTTGTGCAGCGCGGTTGACTAAAAATGCACACACACACACACACACACACACACACACACACACACACACACACACCCACACACACACACCACACACACACACACACACACACACACACACACACACACCACACACACACAACACACACCCACACACACACACACCCACACACCACACACAACACACACACCACCACACACACCCACACACACACACACACACACACACACACACACACACACACACACAACACACACACACACACACACACACACACACACACACACACACACACACACACACACACACACACACACACAACAAACACACACACCACACACACACACACACACCACACACACCCACACACACACACACACACACACACAACACACACACACACACACACACAAAACACACACACCCACACACACACACACCAAACACAACCACACACACACACACCCACACACACACACACACCACACACACACAACACACCACACACACACCAACACACACACACACACACACACACACACACACACCACCACACACACACACACACACACAACACACACCACACCACACACACACACACACACACACACACACACACACAACAAACACACACACACACACACCACACACACACACCCACACACACACACACACCACACACACACACACACACACCACACACACACAC